AAACCCTTGATTTGAAGCTCGATTTCAAACAAACTCACTCTCTCGCTCAAAAACCCATTCAATTTGAAGCTCAGAAACCCTCACTCGCACTGATTTGAAGCTCTCACTCTCCCTCAATTTCAAACAAACTCACTTGATTTCAAACACTCCTCTCTCGATTTCAAACATTCAATCAATTTCAGATCTGTGGATTTCAGAACTTGTAGATTTTGGTCACCAGATTTGCGCTTATCTTCCGATTTTGGTTCTCTTCTCTTTCGATTTTGTGAGTTTCGATTTTGGTCCTTTGGTCAATCTAGATGTTGAAGCTCGTTTAGGCCCCCTCCCCCTCCCCCCCCCTTTTTCTTTTTTTTTTTTTTTTTTTTTTTTTTTTTTTTTTTTTTTTTTTCTGAAGATCTGTAAGTTTGTTGCTGCTTTGTTTCGTTGCAGATCTCGCTCAATCGGTCGCTTCTTTTTGTTGCATAACTCAGATCTGTAAGTTTTTATTATATATGCATTTGTTTTGTATGACCTCAGATCTCTGATTTTTCAAATCTATTTGATATATATATATATTTGTGTGTGTGTGTGTGTGTGTGTGTGTGTTGTCATTGTATTGAGTTCATTGTTTTGGATTTGGTGGATGTATCTCACCTCTCTCACGCACACACATCAAGCTGCTAAATGTTTAATCTGCTCAATCCTCTTTAAATTTGTTTTCGTTTACATTTCTTTTGATAATTACCCCGATTATAAGTCTAGGTTGTGCTGCTGCTTTATTTTTATCTGGATTCATAATTGCTATCTTCCATTAACGCTTGATCGTGCCCTAGAATTATATGAACGTTATTAGATTCGTTATTTATTTGTTATATGAATTTTGTGGCTTCTCTATATTCTTGTTGTTCAAGTTATTTATATTTATATTTTTTATTTTTCTGTGATTTTGTTTCAATACTAATGATAAAGAAACATTTCAAGTGTAGAATTTGGCAATGTTGGATGGACAAAATGTTATTTTTTGATTGTTGTTAAACATTGGAATAGAAATTGACCTGTAAAATGGATTTTAGAAATGCATATCCACATAAATCAACCACCCAAAAAGAAAATTAAGTCCTGGTAGAAATTGAGGGTTGAGACCAAGATGGAACACAGCTTGGTGGATATGGTTGTTTGGAATGGTTTTCTAGGTATTTTAAAGACGAGGCAAAAGGATTTTTAGGTTTATAATGCAAGAAACATAAAATTTTGGTGATGTAAACAGTAACTATGACATTAAGGTGATGTAAAAATATGGTGGAACCCAGCAAGTTCACTATGACATTTAGGTTTCAAATATTTGTCAACCATTAATTAAACTACCATACACCCCCTAGAGAACACTTCTGTAGAACCCGTTTAAAAGTTCAGAATTTTGAACTTTGTCGATCTATCTCCAAAATCACTGCAGTGCAACGAAAATCATTCCTTTGCAACTATTTATAAAAAATGTAGAAAAAATATGTCATGGTAACTTATTGAATCCGACTGACGAAATGCAGAAAAACTATGTGCACATTAATCAAGTAGTTCGCTGCTCAGATTGAGATGAAACAATTATTGAATCCAGCTGATGAAATGTCATGGTAACTTATTTTGATACCTTGAAAGTTGAAAAAGCTGTAGTCGGTTTTGTGACTAGTTTTGGACATAAGATGATTAATTGGTGATTGCGGGGACATGATTTATATTTAGGTTTTTGTATTGATAGTGATATGCCTGTATAGTTCACTACTAGCCTTGTAAAAACAAATACTGTAGGAGTTTTGTATCAATTATGCATGTTTCATCTCTAGCTTTGGCATTTTTCATATTGATTCTTTCATGATATATGTGATGGAGTTGATTTTTTTACTTATACTAAGGGACATAGATTGATTTTTAGTGCACACGTAGTCATATTTGATGAAGCTCTATATCATAATCTATCAAGAGAATTGTAGAAACTTTTAGTTTCTTCAGTAATATGCTTCATGCTAGAAATGCTTCTAGTATGCTTGATAGTTCTGATTCAGATTGCACCACTGGGATGCAAAAATATGACAGTTGTTAATTTAGCAAGCAATTATCCATGAATGCATAAATTGCCATAGACCTGTCCAAGAATCTTCATTAGAGATACCTAATCATCTTTGATGAAGCTCTTCTTGGATTGTCCAGTTTGGACAATTCCGGAGCACAAGTCTATGTCTTAATTAGTAGTTCTACGGCTTAAATGTAGTCCATCTCGTATAGATTTCGTGTAGTAGGTCCTCATGTTCTCTGGGTGCATACTAGACAAGGTGTAACAGTACACCTAGTCTATGTCGTGTACTTGGAGAACCATGGGGAGATATTGCCGAAATTTTGTTATAGATGGATATAGTGGTATGAGCTACTTTTTACGATATAGACTGTGCATTCCTAAATGGGAAAGTAGGATGAACCAACCTAACTGGTAATTGTGACCCATTGTGAATTTGGTTATAACTTATTGTAATTATTATTTTTTGTTAGGATTCAAATGTTTTTTAACTATGCCTCAAATAAAATTTAATTATAACTTCTTGCATCATGATTAAAAGTCATTTAATTATTCAAACCATAAATAGAACACATACCAAAATATTGTAGAAAACTGATTAAAGAAAACTCAAAATTGAGGAAAATGGCAAAGATTGGGATAAACTTCTCCTTTTGTGTGTGGCATTATCGTTCCTCGGGTTCGGGTATGACAATAAGAAAGCTCCAAATTGACAAAAATGGCTACTCTGGCAAGGCATTAATGCTCTATTCTTGTGCACAGCAATATATTATGTATATACATATCATGTGTACTCTCATATTGATATCCAAAGTAAATGCTCTATTCTTGTGCACAACAATATAATATGTATATACATATCATGTGTACTCTCTCTCTCATATTGATATCCAAAGTAAATGCCTTGATCTTCTATAAATAGAGGTGATCATCTTGTTAGTTTCATATAATTCTTGTATTTCTCTCTGTCTCTCTTTGCCTTGTTCTTCTTCCTCTCAACATGGCAGACTTTGTTAGCCTTTTGTTGCTCTGTGTTTGTTCCTGCTTCATCTCCCTCTACGACGCACAAGCAACTATCCCGCTCGTTCCGGCACTGTATATCATTGGAGATTCGACCATCGATGGTGGGAACAGGCTTACTAGCAGAACACCTTACGGAATTGACTTAAACACCACAACACCAATACGCTGGACCAATAGCGAGACCATTGCTGATTTTGCTAGTAAATTGGATCGACTTCATTTTTGTATTGCTTTTCAATATGAAAAGATCTCTAAAAGTATTTTTTATTTATTTATTTAAATTTTTTTTCCCAACAATCTTCTTCGGGTTGCCCCTTGTTCCACCCTACATTGATTTGTCCAAAGCTGGAATATCAAGAATGGGTGTGAACTACGCATTTGCAGGCTGTAGTATACTGTCACAAATTGGTCAGGTGATATACAAATGCTTGTCTGCATGTTTTCTTAACTGATTTAATTTTCTTTATGTTGATCACGAATTTTACTATGAAGTTTCATGCTCATTTGTTTGTTTGTTTGTTTTTTGGCTTTAGAATGGTTGGAGTTTGGATGGTCAGATTGACAAGTTCAATTCAACTCTGAGAAATAATCTGACCAAAATGTTCAGTAACCCGGACCTCCTCCAGCATGTGAAAAACTCAGTTTTTTTTGTTTTCTTTTGGCATCAATGATTATGTCCAACTCTATCTTCCCAAGAGCAGTGGTACCCTAAGCAAATTGTCTCTTGATGCCTTTGCACAATTCCTCCCAAATGAACTGTTAGTGGAATTGACGGTAAGATGTTCACAAGCTTTATAATTACAGTAAAGTGTGTTTATCTGATTCTGAAACATGCAATAATAAGTATTACACTGAAATCGATACGCTATGTTTTACAGACATTATATGGATGGGGGGCATGAAAATTTCTGTTTAACAACATTTGGCCATTATGGTGCACACCATTGTATGCCAATGTATCGGACCCTCTGGCTATTTGTTGCAATGAGACAATTAACCAGTTGGTCCGTCCGTACAACAACAAGCTTCCTGTGATGCTCAAGGAATTACAGTCCAATCTTTTTGGTGCCGTGTTCTCTCACTCCAATGACTTCGAGTTTGTGGAAGACTTGAAGGAGAATCCAACTATGGTAATATGAGAGTACTACAACTACTATTAGAGAGGAAGTTTTTGCTTTCGAAATTGCCACCATTCTCATTCCATGATTTCCAGTCTAACATTTTTATTTATTTATTTATTTATTTATTTTTTTTTTTTTTTCGGGGTCAAGGGGTAACAAATACTACAAGAGAGTGCCATTCCACGTTAACCAATTCCCTCTGCTCAAATAGAGATCAATATCTCTATTTTGATTATTTTCACACTACCCAAGCTGCAAACCATGTCTTCTCTTTGAATTGCTTCAATGGAATACTTTGCTCCCCACTCAATATCATACAACTCGTGGGGCCCTAAGTCTAGTGATATTGTGTTTGGTTGGTTATGCATGTGATGGGTTTGTGTTGACGCATGTAATGGCGTTGTTAAGATAGTTAATGAAATAGTTATTTGTGACTCTACTTCATTTATGTAATGGATTAGAGTTAATGAAATGGCATTTGTGGCTTTACTTTATTATATATGTAATGGCTTTTATTAACTCCATATAAAGTAGAGCCACAAATATCATTTCATTAACTATGTGCCTGTTTGGTAGAAATTATTTACAGCTTATTTCAGCTTTCAGCTTAATTTAAGCTATTTTGATGTGTTTGGTTTAGCTTATAGCTTATAGCTTATAGCTTTGTGGAAGTCAGAAATCAGCTTATTCTTTGAGTGGGGCAGGAGATGCTTTAAGAATAAGCTGGAAATCAGCTTAAGCTGAAAGTTATAAGCTGTTTAGGCATAAGCTATAAGCACTTTCCCACAGCTCTACCAAACAGGGCTTATATATTAATAAAGTTGGGCCACAAATATCATTTTATTAACTATATATTAATAAAGTAGAGCCACAAATATCATTTCATTAATTATATATTAATAAAAGCCATTACACGTATAATAAAGTGGAGCCACAAATACCATTTCAATAACTAAAAGCCATTACATAAATGAAGTAGAGCTACAAATAACTATTTTATTAACTATCTTAACAACGCCATTACATGCGTCAACACAAACCCATCACATGCATAACCAACCAAACACAATATCACTAGACTTAGGGCCCCACGAGTTGTATGATATTGAGTGGGGAGCAAAGTATTCCATTGAAGCAATTCAAAGAGAAGACATGGTTTGCAGCTTGGGTAGTGTGAAAATAATCAAAATAGAGATATTGATCTCTATTTGAGCAGAGAGAATCGGTTAACGTGGGATGTCACTCTCTTGTAGTATTTGTTACCTCTTGACCCCGATGGAATGAGAATGGTAGCAATTTCGAAAGCAAAAACTTCCTCTCTAGTAGTAGTTGTAGTACTCTCATATTACCATAGTTGGATTCTCCTTCAAGTCTTCCACAAACTCGAAGTCATTGGAGTGAGAGAACACGGCACCAGAAAGATTGGACTGTAATTCCTTGAGCATCACAGGAAGCTTGTTGTTGTACGGACGGACTAACTGGTTAATTGTCTCATTGCAACAAATAGCCAGAGGGTCCGATACATTGGCATACAATGGTGTGCACCCTAATGGCCAAATGTTGTTAAACAGAAATTTTCATGCCCCCCATCCATATAATGTCTGTAAAACATAGCGTATCGGTTTCAGTGTAATACTTATTATTGCATGTTTCAGAATAAGATAAACACACTTTACTGTAATTATAAAGCTTGTGAACATCTTACCGTCAATCCCACTAACAGTTCATTTGGGAGGAATTGTGCAAAGGCATCAAGAGACAATTTGCTTAGGGTACCACTGTTCTTGGAAAGATAGAGTTGGACATAATCATTGATGCCAAAAGAAAACAAAAAAAACTGAGTTTTTCACATGCTGGAGGAGGTCCGGGTTACTGAACATTTTGGTCAGATTATTTCTCAGAGTTGAATTGAACTTGTCAATCTGACCATCCAAACTCCAACCATTCTAAAGCCAAAAAACAAACAAATGAACATGAAACTTCAGAGTAAAATTCGTGATCAACATAAAGAAAATTAAATCAGTTAAGAAAACATGCAGACAAGCATTTGTATATATTACCTGACCAATTTGTGGCAGTATACTACAGCCTGCAAATGCGTAGTTCACACCCATTCTTGATATTCCAGCTTTGGACAAATCAATGTAGGGTGGAACAAGGGGCAACCCGAGGAAGATTGCTGGGGAAAAAAATTTAAATAAATAAATAAATAATACTTTTAGAGATCTTTTCATATCGAAAAGCAATACAAAAATGAAGTCGATCCAATTTACCAACAAAATCAGCAATGGTCTCGCTATTGGTCCAGCGTATTGGTGTTGTGGTGTTTAAGTCAATTCCGTAAGGTGTTCTGCTAGTAAGCCTGTTCCCACCATCGATGGTCGAATCTCCAATGATATACAGTGCCGGAACGAGCGGGATAGTTGCTTGTGCGTCGTAGAGGGAGATGAAGCAGGAACAAACACAGAGCAACAAAAGGCTAACAATGGCTGCCATGTTCAGAGGAAGAAGAACAAGGCAAAGAGAGACAGAGAGAAATACAAGAATTATATGAAACTAACAAGATGATCACCTCTATTTATAGAAGATCAAGGCATTTACTTTGGATATCAATATGAGAGAGAGAGAGTACACATGATATGTATATACATATTATATTGTTGTGCACAAGAATAGAGCATTTACTTTGGATATCAATATGAGAGTACACATGATATGTATATACATAATATATTGCTCTGCACAAGAATAGAGCATTAATGCCTTGCCAGAGTAGCCATTTTTGTCAATTTGGAGCTTTCTTATTGCCATACCCGAACCCGAGGAACGATAATGCCACACACAAAAGGAGAAGTTTATCCCAATCTTTGCCATTTTCTTCAATTTTGAGTTTTCTTTAACCAGTTTTTTTCAATATTTTGGTATGTGTTATATTTATGGTCTGAATAATTAAATGACTTTTAATCATGATGCAAGAAGTTATAATTAAATTTTATTTGAGGCATAGTTAAAAAAAATTTGAATCCTAACAAAAAATAATAATTACAATACGTTGTAATCAAATTCACAATGGGTCACCCCAGTTATAACCAAACGTTGTTTGAGACATAATCAAAATCTCTTCGGTCATAACCAAAATAAAAAGAGCATTGCTATTTTAAGTCCAAATAATATATTCACTTTTCAAGCCCAATGATGTGGCAATCAATTAGAATATCTAATGCAAAACTATTTCTCATATTTTTCCAAATCATCAATCAATCATATCATTTACATATCATTGGATCTAAAAAATTAGTTTACAAAGTCGACTTGTATATCATTTTTTAAGCAAAAACCACAATAAATAATAACTAACACACATCATAATGAGTCATAATCAAATTAGAATCACCACTACAATAAATTATAACCTAAAATTATAAAAATCATAATTAATTATATGATACACAAACAAAAAGGTGTGTGCATTATAAAATTTCAAAAAATATGTGAGACCTCTAATAAATTATTCACAATTTCATCCATAATGATGTGGACTGATGAGTGTCGATTTTGATTTGTCATACATTCAATCATGTGGGGCTCTACTTCTTTGTGACATCATTATAAACACATTTGGGGGTCTTATTCTAAAATTTCCCAATTTCAACTCACTATTATTCAAAGATAAAATTTAAAAAATAAATAAGGTAAATTACACCAACACTCCTCAAGGTTTGACTCTATTACAAATTCTCCCTCACATTTTGGAAATTACAACACTTTCCTAAGGGTTAAAGTTTCATTACAAATTGCCCCCTCCGTTAGTTGACCGTTAAGTCAACTAACAGAGCTCGTGATGAAGATTGTTTAAATGGTGATGGTTGGGCAGGTTGATAATATAGTAAAATCAAATCTTCAATTGAGGGTATTATAGTTCTTACACATTTTTTTTTTTGTTTTTTTGTAACTTCTGTTAAGTGAAAAAAATTGACAGGAGGTTTAGTGTGATTTCTGAAATGCGAGGGAGGGATTTATATTAAAAGCAAACCTCAAGAGTGTAAATGCAATTTATCTAAATAAATAAATACATGTGCAGGCACTACGCATCAGTCTCCCTATCCATTTCTTTTCTAATCTCTTACTTTTCACTTTTTCTCTCCTCACTTGTTAATGCAACCATCACATACATCCATATTATCACTTGGGCCCATTTGTTTCCGGTTATAGCAGCTCGTGGTGAATTGTTAGTGAGGATTACAATAAGACAATATCATGTTTATTTTGCAAAGTGAGCTCTGGATTCATAGTCCCCTTCGGACTACGAAAGGCCTTGAGTGAACAGATTAGGAGTCTGAGCTGGGAGATGGTAATAGAAAATAGTCCATTTGGCTTAGGGTGTTACTGATCATCCAGTCGGATGTCTGGCCACTGAACCGACCAAGTGCAATTTTTTTTTTTATTATTATTTTTACTTGTTGGGCAGCACATTTTGAACATTAATGTTTAATGTTTTGTTTTTTTTTTGTTGAGTAAAAACCATGGTTTTATTTATTTTATTATTTTACATTCATTTTATAGAAAAATAATTTAACAATCCCCACACTAATAACTATTATCAAAACAAACAGAATTTTACTTAATTCCCTTACTATCAATTCTCTCACTAACAATTCTCTCACTATTAATCTTCTCACTATTAATTCCCTCCAATATATCTTTGAAATCAAATGGGACCTAACAATAGTCTAACTCCACTTTGTCCCTCTATAGGTTCTATCATTTACTTTTATTTTAGGAGAAGTTTTAATTATGTGTAGATTTTTTTAAAAAGATTATAAATAAATGATAAATTTTATGCATATTAATGATTAAAATTATATACTTTTTCAAGAATATGTAATAATTTTCTAATAGTACCACTGATAGGTATTTTTTCTTTATTCTATTTGTCTTTTTGTAGTTATTCTATGAATCAATAAATTTTAGAATAATTACTTTTTTGGGAAATTCTAGTATACACCTCCTTGAAAGGGATATATCATATGCATTCCTAGTTATATTATTTTTATTTTTAGTTATTACCAATTTTCTTTTTTAATTAAGACAACATTTTAGTTATGACTCATGAGATTTTTGGTTATGCCTCATGTAGTGTTTGGTTTTGACTTTTTTTTTCTTTTTTTAATATTACATATATATACCATCCTAATATCATTAAAATTATAAAAAATCAATTAATAAAAATAAAACTTGATATTATATATATATATTTTATTTTATTTTTTTAAATTCGGTTCGGTTCGGTTTGAACCGCGGTTTTTTCATAAAATCCATTAACCGAACCGTTTTTACGGTTCTCATATTTCTTAATCCGTAACCGAACCAATTCTTAATAGAACCGAACCAAACCGTATAATTCGGTCTGGTTCGGTCCGGATTACCGGTTTGAACGGATTTTTGAACAGCCCTAAAATCTATTTCTGAATCTTTTGGATCATTAGGCTCAGACTCTAAATCTGTTGGGGTTAAAAGGACACAATTTGTCTTATACCCCTTTGGGATGGGCTTTTCACCAACTTTCCTTAAATTAATGTAGTAATGATAATTTAAATGCTAAATTAAATAATAATACTAGTTATATTTATCATATTTTTGTATGATATTGTCCTTATCAACACAATATTAATGTAATAAATCTCACTACTCAAATATAACTCTAATATATGATTGACAACTAAACTAAAATATTAGATAATAAAATAAGATGGTAAAAATAAATAATTATTACAACATTACATTCAGTATAATCTCAATTAGATTCATGACTAAGATTTGACGATGATAAACAAGTTTTTATAAGTCAAGCGACCGCCTTAGATTCATAATATTTTATTTTATAACGTCAAAGCGGTGATGAAGGTCCCATAGCTACCATTGCAATAATGAACGGATCGTGAGGGTGATTAGTAGTATTTGTTTGTTGGTAATTGTTGTGTTGATATTTTATTTATTTTATTTTTACTTTATCTTTTTGTGTTGCAATAATGTTCTTTGTAGAGAGATTTCCTTCTTTCATGGAGATTGATTTTTCTTTATATGTAGGCTTCTTTTAAAAGAGTTCTATTTTTATTTCTATATATTTTACTGCATAACTTATTATCGAGTATAACTTATTATCGAATTTGCAATGTAAAAAGTCTCGTGTTTTTTCGTCAATATATATATACACACACATATAATGATGTATCAATCAACATTTGTATAGAGTCATGTGTTCTCTGATGATCAAATCTGCAGACGTAATTAATGTGATAAATATCATAAATACATTGTCTGTAATTCTTTTATGTCAATGATACACCATAGCACTAGGCTACTAGCTTTATATTAGTAAATGCAATCGGACTTGTAATCATGTTTTGGAAAAAAATAAAATTGTTCACACCTTTTTATTGTGTGGTTAATATAAATTGTAATTACAAATTTAGGAAAAATGAATTGTTGACACATGGTATAAATGACACTTGTTTAAAATGTCACGGGTATAAATTTGTAATGGCAATTGTTGACACATGCTTTCAAACATGTCTCTCTCTCTCTCTCTCTCTCTTTGATCCACACACATTTGTAAGAAGAGGCAAGAAGTTTCCCTCTTCTAAACAGCTCACTTAAAAAATCAAATAAAATTAAAAAAAAAAAAATCAGAGTCACCGTCGTAGTCATGGACCTCTCAGGTCTTCCTAAATCCAATTGTAATCCTAATTTGATGACATTCTTGTTTGTTTGTTAATTTTTGTGATTGAAATATTTTATTGAATTTAATTCCCAAGTCTTGACTAATGTGGTACATAATATCTATATATATATATATATTGTAAATTTTGATTATTACATCTATTCTTCACTGTAAGACTAGTCCTTCTGGGTTAAGTTTTACATTTGCTTGAAAAGAAATTCAAGAGAGTGGTGTCCCTTGACACCATTGATACTGTAGCTCCACCCATGATTATAATCAATCTAGATGAAATATAGATTAGATTTATTTATTTCATTGGCCCTGTTTGGTAGAGGTGTGGGAAAGTGATTATAACTTATAATCTAATAGCTTATAACTTATAACTGTGAACATAAGCTGATTTTTGACTTATAAATTAAGCTTCTCCTCCCCCACTCAAAGAATAAGTTGATTTTTGACTTAGAAAAAGTTATAAGCTGTATTGTCAAGCTGAACCAAACACATCAAAATAGCTTAAATTAAGCTAAAAACTGAAATAAAATGGAAATAAGTTCTACCAAACAGGGCCATTGTGTAAGAACTAGATTATATGAATCCTAAATGTGAGTTTACACAATCAATGTCTAAATCTATCACCTCCTAAAGATTTTTCCCCTGGCAAATACATCCATGCTTATCCATGGTATTCGTATTTGGTGTCAACATTATAAAATTATCTTGATCAATGATGTAATTTCTTTCCGGAGAGAACCATGAAAATATGAAAAATTCTAACATCTTTGTACTACCTTTTGAGACACCAAAGTAATCTGAGTTAAACTTATTTCCAACATATGAAAAGATGTATGGGTACTCAATGACACCTCCAACAAAACTGTAAAATGGGAAGGGGTAATAAAGAGAAGATCTGAGAAAGCAAACTATATAAAGTTCAATTGAAAGAAAAAGCATTCAAAGCATAACAAAATTTGTTTATTTCCCATTTGATCCAAAAATGCCAAAACAGTTGTCCCAAGAGATTTGTCCTCCTTAAAATAATCACCATGGTGGCTATGAAAATTAGGAATATACAGGATACCTTTGATAGGTTTTGAATCCAGCTTATCTAATTACATATTTATACTCTCTCCAAATAATAATAAAAAATTTAAAAATTAATAAAAAAACACTTTAGGAAGATATGCTGCATACTAACTACTGGATTTGGGGTATCATAATGTACTAACCATGGATATTCTGGGACTTAAAACACAGAACACTGAAAGAAATGAAGGTATTCAATGACTCTTCCAAAACCAGAAAAAATAGAAGAGAAAATGAAGCATTCAGTCCTGAGAAGGTTGATAGACCAGTCATCAAAGCAGAGCTAAATTAGCATTTTTCTTTTTCTTATGATAGGACAAAATCAAATTTGTCCAGAAATAGCTCCCACAAATAGTTGCCACACTGATTATGCAAACCAGAGCATACATGTCACAGTAGCCTTTGTTCACTAGGATGTTGCAGCAGTTTGAATTCTAGTACCACTGGTTTAGTTTGGTGAAACAGAGTAACTAACAGTGGCAGTGGTAGAATCATCCTATGGTTACCAGGTCTAAAGCTCACTCTACTTCCTGTTTTCTTGCTTCCCATTCATACTTATGAACTTAGGAAGCATGGAAGCTGACAATAGAGATTTTGCTAGGGAGAGAAATTTTTTGATGAAAACTGAAGTTGTTGGTACTGCAGAAGCTAGAAAGGGAAGAAAGCTTCATGGAAAGAAGTTAGAAGTTGATAATAGTGGTAACCATAATTTAGATGACACTAAGGAAGCCTGTAGTGGGACAGAACGACAAAATATTAGTTCTGTTAGAGAAAAGCTTGAATTTGAGGTTACAGATGGAAAAGTTGCATGGTCCTCTTCTCAAGTTTCAAGGAAGAAAAGTACAAAGGTTCTTTTCAGAAGAGGTGTGTGAAAAATTTTGGTTGAGTTATTAAAATTTTGGTTCTTTTTGTTTTCTTTAATTTTATGGGCTTTTTTGTGGGAATTTTTTCATTTTTTTTGTTACATTCTTATTTCTTGGACTGAGAACTGTATCAGCTCTTTTACCATTTTCTTCAGGCATCAGCACTTGCTTATCTCAGTTGCTTTATTAGTTGTTTCATGAACACAATATATATATACATATTTGTATTATTAGTTTGATGGAATATGATTGGGTCATTCATAGAAGCATTTGTTTTTCTCTAAAAATATGTTGCCTTTTTTATTCGTTTTTTTTTTTTTCCCTCCATTTATGTTGAAATCAATTTGCTGTTTTTATTCAATCATTGATTAAACATATGAGGTTGAGCACATTTTCTTTGTCTTCTTGAAAATTTATCCCATAAAGATCAAATTGGTCAATAACTCCATCTTGTTTAGTATCGGAGTTGGTTTTGGGCTAATTTGCTACATATCCCAACAGGTATTCGAGGAGGCAAGAACGATTTCATGTAATGGAATTCTGAAATTCAGTGATCTTAGATGATTCTGAGAAGTTGCATTAATGCATTTTGTCTTTGGTTTCTATCATTGGTTTTTGGGTTAAGGTGGTTGAGAGAAATGTTTGTGGGATTAGGGAGTGTTTTTACATGTTGCAGGATTGATAATAGGGAACAATCCTTGTAAAGTCCTACTTTTCCCACTAAAGTACCATTCAGTCCTATTAACACTATGTCGACTGAAAGACTAAATGACGTGTTTATGTCTTCTCATTATCTCATTCACAATTGGTGATTTTCCTTCTGCTTTAGTTTCCATCTGTGGTGGAAATTTTTTTATGGCAGTGATGATAATTTAATAACCACTCCAAAAGAGAACAATAGGGGGAAAAAACTGAGTTGGTGTACAATTATATGGTATGTTGTGGCTGTTGTTTGGATGCATTAAATCATGTGGCTTGCTTATTTACTAGAGAAATGCATATCACTTTCAGTTGTGATCATTTTCACTCTGGCATTTTATACTAATTTATTTTTTAAAATATTATTTATTAATTGTAAATGTATAATTACTTAAGTAGTTAAATCTTGATTTACATGTGGAAGATATAGTTGTTTTAAAAAGTATCATTAGGCCAACAGAAACAGTTGCAATTGGAGTACATAAAAGCACAGACTCATCAAAAGAAGTAGAAGGGGAAGAACTAGGACCTGACTATTGGGAGGTACAATTGGAGTACTTAAAAGCACAGACTCATCTAAAGAAGTAGAAGGGGAAGAACTAGGACCTGACTATTGGGAGGTACATGTTCAATTGCCAGTCAAACCTAATGAGAGTTTAATCCGATCATATGGACTTGTCAAAATAATTGGACAAGCTATTGGAGCTCATGGTGCTTGTCCTGCTTTATTTGTAGTATATTTCTTTCGTAAATATTAATTTCATTAACAAATTTATATTAAC